AATAATTACAATCACTACAGGGCTACAGCCTAACCCTTTCTGGTTGTTTTGATTGGCTGGCCCTCTAAAGTTTAATACATACATTTTATTTTTTTAAACTAACTATTACAACTAATACATTACACAAAGCAGAAATCCATTAAAAGAAGAAGGAAGTTTTTCTTTTATATATTTAAACATAAAAGTAGAAGCATTATACTTGTGGATATCAGATAATATAAGCATTCAAAGTTTAGAAAACAATATATCTGTATTAAGGTTTGCAGCGAATGAAACGTTTCGCGAAAAAATGCGAAAAATTTTGTTAGTATTTCGCATACTTTTTCGCGAAAATGAAAAAAGCGATAAATGTGAAAAAGAAGCAAATTTCGCGAAAATAATGCTAGCGAAAAATATTTTCGCAAAAACCATAGGAGTTGAAGCTGTATTTTGTCTTTTTTGATGAATTTTGGCAAAATTTAGCGGTTTATTTCAATTCCAAATTTTCCATATTTTTTAGCAATTTTGTATTCAGGGTTGTCTTTATTCATTTCTTCATATATTTTATCTAAAAATTGTTTAAGAGGTTGTAAAGCATCATGCTTTCGTCTAAATCCATATTGATGAGAATACAAAATATTGTGGCGGTTAAAAAAGTTCTCTTCTCTCCTGGGATCTTCAGAGAACTGTCCGCGGCAGCTAAAAGGCTTAGGGGAGTTTTAAATCATCCCACGATATTTCTCCAAGTTTAAATCAACCTTGTAAATTAGAATAAAATATATAGTTAGTCATCCTGAGACTCTTGTCGTTAATTAGTCGACCGCTAAAATATTATTATCATAAAGATTTATTCACACACAAAGATATAAATACATAAAGAAATGGTGTAGTTTAAATTTGTTTAAATAAATTTTTGAAAATACAGGTTTTCAAAAGAAAAGAAAAAAATATGCAAAATTATGCACAAATAGACAACATTGATCATTACTCATTACATAACATATTTATCATTTAAGTTATTACGTAATCATCGAATCCTTCAACAATCAACATATAAATTATTCATTCTTGTATTTACAAGTTCTTGTAAAACCGGAACTTTCCATACATGTCCCAATGGGACATCAAAATATTTCATTTGTTTCTTAACTAACATTTTACTAAGATCAGAAGGATTTACAGAACAATCATTTGCAATAGAAAATAAATTTCTGCCAAGAACTGTGTTAAGGTCATTTGTACATAAATCAGAAAGAAATCTAATGCAAAGCTTAGAACTTGCTTCTATAGTCTCATAGAAAGACACACATTGTATTTGTTTATGAACTTAAAACATTTGGCGGTTTTCTAACAATTTTAAAAATGAGGATAATAAGCTTATTGGTCGATTATTTGTAGATAGATATTACCTATGGCACATTTATAGCTTTCAGGAATATAGACTACAGGAGATATTATATTTGGCATAATCTCTGTTATCTTTACCACAACTTATCTTACTTTTTAGCACAGAAAGTGTTTCAGAGATGGTTTCAGGAGTCACATTTGCAAATACAAAGTTTATATCAACAGGGGTTGATAAGTATTCTGTAAAATTTTGTTTCGGAGCACGAATAGTTATAGTCGAAGCTTGATCCAACATTCACGCAAAATTGTAAAATCCGTAGATATGTCTTGTAAGCCTAAAATAATTTTACCATTACAATGAAACTGATCAGGAATATCTGATTTTAAATTAGTTGAGTTTACAACTTTTATAAGAACATTCCAAGTTTGTTTGACATTAAATTTATCTTGATAATAATTATTTTTTGCCTTACGCAATATAGATCTAAAAAATTGTTTTGTAATCTTTATACTTCTAAATGTTTAAGGGTCAGGATTTTTAATACTCTTTGCCTCTAACCTATTCTTTGTTTTTCTTAAACCCAACATTGTAATCTATGGTTCAACAGGTTTAACATGTTTAGATTCTTTTCTTTGTATGAGAGGAAAAGACTCCTTTGAGGAAAGGACCCTTTAATAAAACACTTTCAATGTCTCCTTGTTAACAATCATTTCCTGTAGATTTCCCGGAATTTTTATTGAAAAGACGACATTTGACGAATTTAAAGAAATCTGCGAAGAAATTCAATATAATGATGAAAAAGAAATAATTTTTTCAACTTTTGATTTATTGAGAAATATGTTCCAAAACATCTAATTAGTTTACTGTAAATTTTTTTACATTTTTTGTCGTCGTTCTTTCATAATTTAAAATAAAATCGATTCTCTAAACGTAACCACCCAAATGGATGATTTTGAACGTGGACTTTGCACTGAAACTCATTAATTATACATCATTAAAACATATTATGTGTCTCAAAATGCTACACTCTCAGTACAACCACCTGCATAGCCGGTCACTCCCATTAAACCTTTCATTCTTCTTTTTTTTTTCTTCAGCAGATAAAGAAACTTTAGCGGGAGCGATTACTTGTTCAATTAATAGCAAATTAAGAAATGAATTGTGTTTATTTGCTTAATGCATATGAGAATGTTAAAAACTTTGATCAAATCAGACTTCTAGTGCTGTCCTACCTGCATTCTACAGTTTCAAAGTGACTTAACATTAAAATTGTAGCCTGGGTTTATGATTTGCATGGATTCAACAACCGACATTGTGCCAGTCTATCAATCAGAAACCACCATTATTAAGCACCTTTCCCTATATTGAATAATGAGTGGTACCAGCCCTGATGGTTTTTTATGCATTAAATTTTAAGAATTGTTTAATAAGTGACATAACTCTAAATATAACGACCAAAAATATAACCACAAAAATTAGAACAAACCTTCCCCTTCCCTGTCTTTCCTCTTCTCTATCTTTCCCTCTCCTGAGTCTAAAACTAAAGAACGAAAAGTTTTGACTTAAGATTTAAGTTCATGGTCAAATGCCACATTTGACTTAATTTAAACCTGAACTTTAACCGTGAGGTTAAATATTAAAAATTACTATTTATATAATCTGTATTTTTATCAAAATAAAAATCACAATTTTTAACACTAATAATTTATATCTGTATATAGTTATATATATACTTAAATATGTTGAAACATAAAACCTTTAATCTAATATAATCAAAGAAATACTCTCGAAAATTTTAACCGACAAAATCCGCGAAAAACAATAAAAGAAATCTGAGAATCCTTATTTCTATTTGTGTATTCTCTTTTCAAAAACTGGAAATACTTCATCTTTGTAAGAAACCATAGAAAATTATACATATTCACATATTCATTATAAATATTTCATACAAGATTCCAAACAGTAATGATTACGATTCTAAAGAATCAAAATTGTCAATATTTCAAATCACGATTATTAAGATGCAAAAATGTCAACTGACCCAAACTTTGTATACGCTAAACAGTCAACAAACTTGTAAGCATTCAACAACATAAGGAGAGGATGGTCATTAAAAAAATGTTTTCAAAAAATCCAAAAATGTCAATAATTTAAAAAACTATTTGAGCTTTTACAAACCTAAGATTTACTTATCTGAAAACCCCTTAAAAATATATGTTGTTAATGTTTTCAAAAATAAAAATAACTAGTTTTTCTAAAATTTGAATAACATATTTTTGGATTTTTGATAAACCACCTTAGCATCATAACCATCAAGGTTAGAGATTTTTTTTTTGGATGATCTGGCATTACGCAGTAACCAGTTGAACTATAAAGGACATGTCACCAGTTTCCTATCACAAGTCTTAAGACAATCCATATAGACAAAAATGCCCAAATCGGAATTTCAAAAGATGTCCTAATTAATCAGCAGATAACGATGAAATCTCTTTTGTAACATATTTTAGTGACGTTATGGCCGGCTATAAGTACATTTCTACATTTCGCATTTCCGATTATAACTCTTGAACCCCTGGACCGATTTGACTCAAATATTTATTTGGGAATTCGGGAGAATTTTGAGATTCTAAGTTTAGTGGGTCACCTATTAAAGGGAAAAATAGCTGAAATCATGATTTTAGACCAATTGCGGGTAAATGGCGGGAATAACTATGTAACCTGGGCAGCGCCGGGTTCCCAAGTTCGTACATACATAATATTTCTATATTTATATATAACTAACGAAATAATCAGACCAGCTTCTTAGTTATAGATTTTTTAATACANTTTATATATATATATATTCATAAATGAACATTTTTTATGATAGACCATTAATTATAGAGGAATCCTGGGGGCCAGATTTTATGAGTACTAAGAAATAGCTTTAAACTACTACTTTTCTTTCCCCAGTTATCTTTTGTTATAATCCGATCTCAATTATATTAACTATTATATCATTGTGTTAAGAATGGATATTTACGAAATTGTTAACGGAGCCAGCCGTTTAATATTACTTATTACATTGAGGGCGCAAGAATTTATTCTATTTATTTTTAAAAATATCGCCTGAGCAAGAAAAAATACCCTTTGAACACGAATAATTTTTATTACATGTAAGATTCATCAAATTTTAAGCAAAAACAATAATAAAAATAAATTTTATTTTCCATTTATTTTCGTTAACAATCTTAGAATTATCGTTTTTTGCCTTTCGTTAATGGAATCTTCCACTACGTTCGTTATCAGAACGTTGCTGCGCTGGGCGCAGTCCTTCCCCGTTTGGATGTTCTTTGACCCGGAAAAAACATAAACCGACTAATGTTCCGATGTCGGGTAAATAAATCTGGACTTTTGATGTTCGAGACTAAATGCAGGGCCGGGATTCAGTAATTCTACCAGGTTTCCTACTAAACCATACACACTCAGAGGCGTGGAGGAACTAAACTTACCGAAGAAACTCTTTCTCTCTTTCTCCTTCGAATTCTCTCTTTCTCACTTTACAGGAAAAAGCAGTCATTCAGGCAGTGTGCCTGAGGACTCAGGCAGTTAGTATTAAAGCCCGGTTTTAGGCCTAAAGGGAGGGCTTTGGGTATGTAGGAAAAGTCAGAAAATTTCAACAGTCTCAGACCAATACTTGTTGAGTAATTTTAAAAAAACTACAGGGGGGGGGTCAAATTGACCCCCCCCCCAGCAGGAATAGGGTTAAATAGGCAGAGAACAATTAAAGAATATCATTAATATTTGTGCAATCTAACTTTAAATAATTAAACAATTATATTAGGAATTTATAAACTTTTGGCTAGCAGACTCGAATCCAGATTTCAACATTTTTAACATAAGGGAGGTAAGGGTAGAAGCAAAAACAAATAAATCAATTATAAATATATTCAACATATATGAAGCATAAAGTCTGACCACGTCAACCTTGTTGCACTGACTAGTCATGTTGATTGTCTGCTTTATTAACCCACTGTCCGTGCGGTAAAGTACAAACTGGAACCGGAAAGGTTGACCCGGCTTGGAAATTCAATTGTACTACGGCTGCCCGTGATAATTGTAAAATATAACATTCAGTTTAAGAAAAGCCTCAAGATAATTTAAAATATTCTTAATAGCTCACTTATAATTAAGGGTAAATTAAAATTAAATAATTTCAGATGTCTAGGTTTAATTGTGCGCAAAGTGAAAGCCATATCGTTATCTAATGTACACGGGCTCGGAAAAAAAACAACTTAAAGCCTAGACGGCCGAATCAGAGTTTGATCTTGGAACAAAGTGACTTGGGAACTATATATAAAGAGATGAATTTGAGGTGTTAATTAAAGATTTTTTGAAAAGTATAAAAGATGCAATTTAAAAAAATTCGCGAAGTGTGCGGGAGGGGGGGGGGGGTTAATCCTTAAAAATATACACCCTCAGATTCTACCAGAGAACATAATCCTGACAAGTTTGTGTTTAAAATGTTGAAACCTGTGTTATATATTATTATTGTTCTAGTTCTAGTGTCTGTAGAACATAGTTGACTAGAAGTGCTAGCGCGGCAATTCCACCGAGATTGAGGAAGAATGAAACAAATCCCGGCATTCCGGCGCTTCTTTCACTCACGCTCTCATCCTTAAAAAAATATAATTTTTTTTAATTTAGAAAAATTTAGATTTTTACTGTTTTTAGGCTAGATATCAGAAGTGTTCCTATCTACAACGTAAAAATAGGGGCTACCCATAAAAGATGGAATTTCAGAGACGACTGTAGGAAATTTATTCAATCTCTTTTCTTATATTCACTATTTCCGGCAACTTTCAAGTTATTTATTCCTTTGTCGACTAAATTCAAGTCATAGTTCGTACATTTTAAAGAGTTTCAGGTCGTCCTTTATAAATCCATTGTGAGTAACACTGTATTAAATCAATCATTATTGATTGATTGATTTTTAAAGATCACCAGATAAAGTCACCAGAACTATAAGTATAAATATTCACCGGAACTACTGTTTGTTGAGATTGAAGAAGATTTCTACGTACAATTTCATCTTCAGCTTCCCTCTTCAGGTCAGGGAAGAGGTCTTTGAACACCTTGCTCTTCAGGTTGAACTCCAGGGACCTAGATAGATACAATTTAGGAGGTCATAGACTCGTGGGTTTTAGATTAATGACTATTTGAAGATATTTGAACACCATATTTTTCAATTAAATTTCCATGGTAAAAAAATAAACGTTTTTTAATGGGCCGTTGACCACAAACCAAAACATAACAAAACGCAGACATTCCCAAGAGACAAACGACCTCAAAATTATTAAGACATTTTTATGAGTTGATTAAGCTCAAAAACTGAATGATATGTCGAGATCTATAAAGCTATAAATAGAGATATTTAATTTCAAATTAAACCGTTAAATGAGAAATAAATAGCCTCTTATAACCTTTGCAGTATTAGATACTATTTACAGAGGGGACAAAGGGAACTGACCTTTTTTGAAACTTTTCCCCAAAAATTTATTTTTTTCACTATGAATAATCTTTTTTCCCCGAATTCCGCGAAGAAACCCCTATTTTTTTCAAGCCTCAAAGAGGAGGAGGAGGGGGAGGGTTGTTTTATGAAAATAATAACCCCTACGATCTGACCTGTAGGCAAATTTCTTCTTTTCTCTCTCTGTAGTTTCTATAGAGCCTAATGTCGGGGTCGTTTCCAGCATAAAACTTAGTAGACCTGAACATATTTAAAAATATATAAAACTTAATCTGAACATTTATGTATATATATATATATATATAACTTAGTCTGAACATATTTAATATCTATATATACAACTTAGCCTGAACAGTGAACATAACTATTATCTAATTATACAACTGAGTAGACCTGAACATATCTATATATACGCCTGTTAATATAGTGAAAACGTACCACAGCTAAGTGGATATACCTGGTTGTATGGAAGATACAGACCACAGCTAAGTGGATATACCTGGTTGTATGGAGGATACAGACCACAGTAAAGTAGATATACCTGTTTGTAAGGAAGATACAGACCACGGTAAAGTGGATATACCTGTTTGTATGGAGGATACGTACCACAGCTAAGTGGATATACCTGTTTGTATTGAGGATACAGACCACAGTTAAGTGGATATACCTGTTTGTATNTACAGACCACAGTAAAGTGGATATACCTGTTTGTATGGAGGATACAGACCACAGTAAAGTGGATATACTTGTTTGTATGGAGGATACAGACCACAGTGAAGTGGATATACCTGTTTGTATGGAGGATACAGACCACAGTAAGGTGGATATACCTGTTTGTATGGAGGATAAAGACCACAGTAAACTGGATATACCTGTTTGTATGGAGGATACAGACCACAGTAAAGTGGATATACCTGTGTGTATGGAGGATAAAGACCATCGTAAGTAATGAGGATACAGGCCTGTTAATACAGTGGATACAGACCACAGTAAAGTGGATACAGACCTGTTAATATTGTGGATACAGACCTGTTGGTATTGTGGATACAGACTTGTTAACATGATTGATAGAGACCACAGTAAAGTGGATACAGACCTGTTAATATTGTGGATACAGACCAAGCTGGATTCCATGTATCTGGATGATAATCTGAGATGGATAAACAAAGTCTGGTATCCGTCTAGAAATATATTCATTTACGTTGGAGCATTTCAAAACACAAAATGCTGGAGCATCTTTTTCAAAAAGTAAAGCCTTTAGACAATAATTAATTGATTGATTGATTGTTTGATAGATAAATTAATTAATGCCCGGCGTTGCCCGTGGAGTAAAAATAAGTAGGGAAAAAACCCTCTTGAAAAAAAAGTCAGCCAATTTGGTCCAGTCGTTTGGCTAGCTATAGCTAACATATAAATATATGAGCGAAGAGCTTTTGCATTAATTAAGTGATTGATTGATTGATTGATTAATTAATTCATAGCTGGATCAATTGATTGATTGAATTAATTGAAATTGAACTTAAAAACTCGTCTAAAAAGGTTTAAAGGTTAACTCTGCTCTTTAGTCTCCAATAAATAGGGATGTTGTATAAATAAGAAATATATTTTCTAATTATTCAGAAGTGTATATTTTTCTGATAATATGGGAAAATAATGAAAAAAAGACGGCAAGTTTTCTTTTTTTTGATACTTCTTACCAAAAAATCATCTTTTCCCTTTAAAAATCAATTTTTCCCCAAATTCAGTAAAAAAAACCTAAGATTTTTTCCCGGCCTGCGCAAAACTAAATTACTTCTGGGGAAATTTTTTTTTTAAAAAGGGGAGGGGCGATTTAAAACGAAAATATACACCCCTGTTTTTACTCTAATTCTTATATAATTTACCTTGAACCGACCATTCGGAGTTATCATATATATTGACGGGGGTTTAAAGGGAAACTCCGCAGGAAATACTAGCTTCCCGTGGTACTGCCCACCTTAAAGGGGTTGTTTACTTAATTTAAAATTTTAAGAAAATTGTTAATTTTTTACTCATAGTTAATAATTTCTGTATAGTACACACAACTGTCATGCTTTTAACATTTGTAAAAGGTTATACAAAATAGTAGTGCTTAGGATCCGGATCCGAGAGATTTTGGCTTCCTGGATCCGGATCTGGATCCTCAAAAATATGCGGATCCACGGATCCAGATCCAAGGGTCAAACTATCAACCATAAACTGCAAGAAAAACATTTTTTACTCTCAAACCCAAATTTGAACTGTTGAAAAATTTTCCTAATTTCTGAATGCTTTAAAAAGTTTTGCATAAAAATAAGCAAAAAGACAAAAAATTTGAAAATTTAGCTTTGTTAAAAAAATGCAGCAAATTTCAAAGAAATAACCTGGATCCGAATTCATTTTTTTCCAATGCGGATCCAGGATCCGGATCCGCATGCAAACTAAATGGAACCTGAGCACTGCAAAATAGTAAATTCGTAAGAACAAAATGGGCCTGTAAACGAAATCAAGTGTTTCATGCCCGATTAACAAAGGTATATTTAATCTCTTTCTTGGATTAAAAATGGGAAAAAACTGCAAAGCGCCCCAAGAACATCATTTTTGCTGAGACAAAGGTTTGAAGGGTACCATTGTGAATCAGACCTGCAACTTTTACCTTCGTAGGGTGAATCCCCTGGACCTTTCACAATATAATGCCATTCCAGTAGATTAGAGGGTAGTGGTTCAGCAACGATATAGGGTACAGGATCCTAATCAGAAATTTTTTTCTTTATAAATATCTTTCTTCAGCAAAATTGGGGACAATTTTTTTAGCCATATGATATGATAATTATATTATGAAATAAAAAATATAAATGGAAATTCAAACCTTCTTTAGTCTCATATAATCCATTTTCAGCCTAGAAACAGCACTGCTGTTCCTTTGACTCATTTTAAAACTATTTTTTTTTCTGAAAATAAAAATGTTAAAGATAATTCTTCTATCGGCCACTTCGCCGCTCTCCCTTGGCGGATTTATCTTGGGCTTTTTTCTTCCTGTCCTCTGCTTGTTTCTTCTGATTCTCTCTGTCCTGCTTGTCCTTGTCCTTCTTCGCCATAGCGGCCTGTCGTTGGGTCTCCCGCCATTCAGCCTGGGCCTACCATAGAATATATCTATTATTATCTAGGCTTGGCAAGAAATGGAAAATAAAAAATAAAATCTAAGACAAGATTTAATGAACAGAGAGAAGAAGTTGAACTGTTGAACCTTGTTGAGCTACAGTTCTAGATGAAGAGAAGTGGATCAACTAAGTCTACGTAGTTCAACTACTTCTCGCAATTCATTGAATTTGGTCCCTGTAGAGTAGAGACACACAGAAATTCGGTCAAATGTCCAAATGAAAAAAATTCTAATTTTTGTAATTCTGTTAGAAATTTTTTTCTTCAAGATATTTCTTAAACAAATATTTTCCACAAAAATCTAATTTTCTTCTGTTAATAGGAAACCATTAATTTTCTTGTCATTCAATGATTTAATTAAACCCTTACATATAAAAAAAAAATAAGAAAGAGAAGTTTTTAATAAAAAATTCGAGGATAAGATTCAATAAACATAGAATGTTTAACAAAATAATTATTGAATACCCTTGAATTGATAAAAAATTACCTGTTGGACGGCTTGGACGTTTGCGCTGGATCCAGGTCCAAGATCATCATCATGATCATCATCATCTTCATCATCGTTTTCATCACCATCTTCTACCTTTGAACAGATTTTATTCATCATCAACATCAACTTAATTCAATACTAGTTCTATCAGTTTAATCACAGTTAATTTGATATCATCACCATTGTCTTTTAACAACATATCACAATACATCTTTATCAGTATTATTATTATCATCATTCATGTCTTCTTTATTCATTTCTATTAGCCATAGTATAATCATAGTTAATTTAATATCATCACCATTGTCTTTTAACAACACATCACAATATATCGTTATCATCATTATCATCATCATCATTCATGCATTTAAAATCTATATTCAACAGCATTATCTTTCAATTTCATATTTGACCATACTCATGAAAATTAATTCCCCTTTCAGTTTAATTAAGAGTTGAGTCTTTTTTTTGTATTAAAGGGACAGTAAAGGAAAAATGAAAGCAAAAACCTGACAATCTCAGGAGTTGAATGATACCTTGACATCTATTTGATGTTCCTGTCTCTAGAAATAGGCATAAAACAGTGTCAAATTTAGACCAAAACGTATATATGTAAGCATTGTAAGATATACGTCCGTATCACGTGACCAGAAATCCCTCCAATGACAATGCAGTATACTGGTCACGTGATACAGACGAAGACACGTGACAATAATACTGCACTGCCACTGGTTGGAGTTCTGGTGACATGTTCCGGACGCATAAATACTATTATCAATTATATCTATTAAAAATGAAAAATTATTAAATTCAAATAAAAATAGGAGCAAACTTGAGTTTCTTGGGCTCCTCTGGGATATCGATGTTTTCAGATTGGTTGCGTATTTGTTGAATATGATCTGTTTAATATTACGAATCTGATATAAAATCTTTCATAAATACGTTTTGGTATAATTTTGACAGTTTTATATTAATTTCAGGAACATCAGATAAAACTCTGATATCTCTCAATCAACTCCTCGGATTCTTAGGTTTCAGCCAATACCCCCTTTAATGTTTTCTTTACAGTCGTTTTCAGCTAAAATTGGTGAAGTGATATCTAATTAAGAAAAAGTTAAATTATTAAAACCTGTGAGTATGAAGCTAGAATGGCTTGTTTAATTTTCTTCTGCTCATCCGAAATTTCATGTTTGTTTAAATTAAAGCTTTGCATTTTCTCCTCCATTATTTTATGCATCTGGTCACTAGATCATATATTCTTTGTTTCGAGATTCATCTTTTCATGTTTTATTCTGGTGTTTAAAGGGACTGTAGGCGTAAATTCAAGTGACCCTACATGAAAAGAGGGCAATGCCCGATTTCCAACGGAACCCTTTAAACCTTCGACTGTTCATCATGTGAAGAGAGCTCTGTGTACAGTTAGATCTTGCATTTAAACAGTTTCCAAAAACTCGAATGACAGTATTTATTTTCTGCCAAGTCCAGAAAGTAAAAGTTAAATTTTTTAAACCTAAAACAACTTGTAAATAAAGTGTTCAACAATTAAACCCGTTTTTGCAAATTAATAAGAATAAGTCCGACATTATTGATCAGTCCAAGTGGTCCAAGGTTTTAAGGGTACCGTTGTGAATTGGGAATCGTCACTTGAAATTATACTTACGATCCCTTTAAGTTCGGATAAAAATGAGAAATCACTTAATAGAATTGAAAATAAATTTACTCCTCCCTAAGATATTGTTATATGCATTAAAAAATTTAGTCACAAAGGTATTCAATTATGAAACAACGGCATGGTATCTTTAAAAACTTTTTAAGATTTGAGAAATAATGAAAAATTGGATAACAATTTTACTCCCCCTCTAAACTTTTCATTCAGAAAATCATTTATTTTCCATATAAATCTGGTTTATTTTCCAAGAACTGATTTATCAAGATGAATATTTGCCAAGAACTGGTTTATCATGATGAAATATTTGCCAAGAACTGGTTTATCATAATATTTGCCAAGAAAAGATTTATTATGATGAAATTTTGCCAAGAACTGGTTGATCAGGATGAAATATTTAGCAAGGCCAAGAACTGATTTATCATAATGTAATATTTGCCAAGAACTGATTTATCATGATGAAACATTTGCCAAGAACTGATTTATCAGGATGAAATATTTGCCAAGAACTTATTTATCATTATATAATATTTCCCAAGAACTGATTTGTCGTGATGAACTGGTTTATCAAGATGAGACGAACAACCTCCCTGATGTCTATAGTTGACTGCAGTGATGGTTTGACGGGTTCAGAATTATTGTTAAATTTACTCCATTCATCTTCTATCTCCTTTAAAGGGACTATTAACTTAAATTAAAAACATGACATGTCCAATTCAGAATGGTACCCGTAAAAACTTTTTCTAAATAACATTAATAAAGTTCTAAGCCTAAACCCTAGATTGAAAATAATGCACTTTATAGCTAGAAACTCAGGATATCGCATAAATCCTTGATAGAGGACACAGGTAAAAATGGTACCATTGTGAATCCTTGATAGAGGACACAGGTAAAAATGGTACCATTGTGAATCCTTGATAGAGGACACAGGTAAAAATGGTACCATTGTGAATCTCAGACATGGAGGGTTAATTAAAGTTCAAAGTCCCTTTAATACTGAATTTATTAAAGATTCCTCGCTCACAACATCTACACAATATATATAAACTCAAATCGCTATAAGTTTAGATATCCGTTGATTAAATAAAATTTCCGGACTTGGATCCTACTAATACTAAAATTAATTCACTTTTACTCCCCTTCCACCCAATGATTTTTTTCACTTTCCCAACTTAATGTAAATTTTTTTTTCCAATTTTTTTCTCTTAACCTTTTTTTCAGAAACTGGACAAAGAAATAAGGACCCAAGGAACCTTTCATGTAGATGAAAACCCGTCATTAAAATAATGAAAAATAAACTGGTTGAGTTCAATATTTTCCTGAGAGTATTTCAAGGATTCCATTTCTCTTCTCCTCCAGCTCCTCGTCACCAGACAGGATTCCAACTAGGACAAGATAATAGGATAAAAGGACCCTGGTCTACATTAAAGCACAGGGGAGTTATTTTTAAGAATTTTCGAAGATGGGGGGGAGATTAAAAAACTATAAATGAAAAGGAAAGTTTTTCGTCCTTACTTGACATAACATTTAATTTCCATTTCTCTTAAAAATCATTTGTTTTTCCTGATTCAGCGAATAAATTTCTTTCAAAGAAAAATTATTTTCATAAGAAGGAGGGGAATCATTATTCAGAAAAACATTTACTACAGTAAGTTTTAAATGACATATTCACATCCGTCTCTTTAAAATCTTTATCAAAAGATACCGCCCTTAAAACAAAATGCGTTTTGTAGGTTTTCCTCCCACATGGCACAGTAGTATAAATCCAATATTGTCACAAAGAAAAAAAAATATGATAGATATTATATTAGCTCAGCTAAAGGTTTAAGTGGTACCTTACTAACTAAAAAAGAAAATCAGCAAACAAGCTCCTCTGTTTATTTCGTAAATTTCGAAAAATCAAATTTTAAAACACAGTAGTTTAAAAGCATACTGAAATAAAATGTGGATGAAGATATTAATGACCTACTGATATATGGACTAAAAACACTCTCGTCTGTTCCAAGTTCTGTAAGTTTGGAAGACAGCCAGGCTTCGAATCCTCCCATATTGTATTATATAAAAATATCGTTTTCTGAAAATATAATTCTAAATGAGAAGAAATGTATTAAGTATAAAAACTATTAGGGTCTGTACATGACCACTTATCTTGTTATTATTTTAGGGTTAAGTTAAGACAATTTCTGGGCCGAGCGCTGCGGCCAGAAGGGGTCTTTAGTTTCAAGTTTTTAACAAAATTAGTATATATTTAGAGTTAGGTTAGGTTAAAGACACTTTCTGGACCGAGCACTGCGACTACGGGGCCGAGCGCTGCAGATATAGGACAGGCTAGGGGGCCAGACATTGCAGCCCCATGGTCAATTATATCCATGTCTTCTATACAAGATTCATGTACAAAATTGATAGGAGGGGAGGAGGAGGGGGGCGGGGCTAAAACTCGTTCTACAGGAAATTACCAAATATTAAATATAGGCCAGGATTTGTTACATAACATGTCAGATAAAAAGAACAGGATACCCATGATGCTATACTTTTTTCCATTTTTTTGTAATCCGATTTGAACTACAAATCGGTATAGTTTAATGACTCGAATAGAAGTCATTCATGAGGTTTGGGGTTCCACACTAGTGCAAGATTTTTGGAACACGCACTCCGATCGACGCGTTGTGCACAGGACTTGGATCTACTACAGGGTTAGGTTAGATTAGAGTGTTACAACAGAATTTCTGGGCCGACTGTCAGTCTAAAACAGTCTTAGTTAAATGCCTTATACCCCAATACCCAGTTTTCTCTTTACATCTGGACTTTCAATTTATAGTTCAGAGATTTTTATTTTACATCAGAGAAAGATATCAGCGGCATTCGGACATATAAAGTGTAAGACGACCTTTAATACTCATCAATGACATATTTCCGACCTACGCACATCTGCTACACTAAAGATGGGTGCTATCTTATTTGGACTACTGCCGTTTGAACTATTGTTCATTTGAACTATTGTTCATTTCAACTACTGCACTTGGGACCACGTGAGTAGTTTAAATGAACAATAGTTCAAACGAGTAAATATATTGCTCATTTGAACTATTTTTTAGTTCATTAGAACTATTTTCATTTGAACTATTAAAATATTATTAATGAAATAAACAAAAAATAGTTCAAATGAACATAAAAATAGTTCAAATGAAAAAAAATAGTTCAAATGAACAAAAAAAAATAGTTCAAATGAACATAAAAATAGTTCAAATGAACAAAAAAAATAGTTCAAATGAATTCCGCCGTCGGTCTTTATGTTAGCTGGGATGCCTATCGCAGTAGGTATGAAATAATTAATTTTTTTGTTCGATGGGCATTTTCGTAGGTCGGATGGGCATTCGTAGGTCGGATGGGCACTTTTTGTATGGTCGGGTGGGCACTTTTTGTAGGTCGGATGGGCATTTACGTGGAATCGACTATTAGTCGATGTGATCTGGTTTACTCTACCTGTATACAACATGCAGTCCAAGCGACCTTAAAGTACAGCCCAGTAAACATAGTTGGGAACTTTTTTCCATGGAACCATCTGAGGACCTATTCCCCAGAATTTCCCTGAT